CTGGTGAGTCTGTTTTGTATTTATCCCTTTTGTCTTTCAAGTGGCTTTCTGCCAACTCAGCAACCCTGGGCAACCTAGAGTGGTGCTTAGGGAATGCATCTGCCCAGTGTCCAGGTGGTCACTTCTCTTTCCAGCCATTGACAGAGGCAGAGGCAACTCACCAGGTGAAAATGAACTAGAGATACTGCTCCCACTGAGAGGGATGTCTCAACATCTCTCTCCCGCCCAGAGGTCTGCGTCTTGAAGGCCCAGGGTCTATATTAACCAGGGCCTCTGATTAATATACATGTCCTGGAGAGCCACTGGACTCTTTGACTGGGTCTGATTAAAGTGGCCCGGGATGACCCAAATATAACTCAAGTGTGTTAGGTAAGACCATTTTGGTTTCAGGCAACAGATGAAACGCACCCTGTCAGTGTACACAAAAGAGGAAAACCTCCTGAAAGGCTGCAGAGGTGTCTTATGAACCCAAGGGTAAAATGTAGCTGAGGACCTACAGAGAGCCCATGGGCCATCATCTTACCCTGGCTCTGTACACTTTCCTTTTAAAAACTGCCTCCCTCTGCTTCTCCACGGTGCAAAGTATGGCCACACCCAACACCTGTGTGTTTGTCCAAAGATCCAGCCATATGGGGATGTGCTTTCTGACTCTCTTCCAACTCTAAATACCAAGGAAGCATCTCTCATTGGCCTTATCTGGACAAGGTCACCACCGACACATATGAGGGAAGTGCATACAGATATTAAGAAAATTCAATAGAGGCCGAAACAGGTTTGGCTCAGTGGATAGATCTTATCAGAGGAACTTCGGACTGAAACGTCCCGGGTTCGATTCCGGTCAAGGGCATGTACCTTGGTTGCAGGCACATCCCCAGTAGGGGGTGTGCAAGAGGCAGCTGATCGATGATTCTCTCTCATCGATGTTTCTAACTCGCTATCCCTCTCTTCCTCTCTGTAAAAAAATCAATAAAATGTATTAATAAAAAAAAGAAAATAAAAAGAAAGAAAATTTAATAGAGGCTGTGGGAGGCAGGCAACTGGGGGAGCTTTGGGCAGCCTCTCACCCATTCCCTTCTGAGTGATGAAGATTTGGGAGCATATAATGATAATAATGAATAAATACATTTTAGCTATTTTATAAGCTGGCGTTTCCAGGTTCATTATCATTCATATTTATGGTGGGAATATATTCCTCCAAACATTCCACAAATAGCTCTCCTACTGTTCAGGTAAAATTCCTACCAAGTTGGACTAAGGGGAGGTACCAGTGAGCCCAGGCTTTTACTTCTCATAGGAAATGAGTGCTTCACCAGTAGTTTTGTATAGGTGTGAATCGTTAGGTCCACACATCTTTCTTTTTTCTTTTAAAAATATATTTTATTGATTTTTTACAGAGAGGAAGGGAGAAGGATAGAGAGTCAGAAACATCAATCAGCTGCCTCCTGTATCCCCTCTTCCCCCTTACTGGGGATGTGCCCGCAACCAAGGTACATGATCTTGACTGGAATCGAACCTGGGACCTTTCAGTATGTAGGCCAATGCTCTATCCACTGAGCAAAACCAGTCAGGGTGGTCCAGGCATCTCTTGAATAGTGCTAATTAACTATGCTGTGCATTGGAGCAGGAATGTGAATGTGTGTGTGCGGGAAGGCAGAGAGCGGTTGTAAAAACTCCCAAAGGTCATATCATCCTTCGATGCAATTGGCTTTGGCAAGTTCTACTTTTTGCTGCCACCTTCACTGTCTCCAGCAAAGGGTTACAGTTTCCTCTGGATGAAAAAGGCAGGCAGGACCACGGCAGAATCCACTGCCCAGAGGGATGGAAGGGTTGTCTTCCCCAGCAGAGCCCACCCAGAGCCCTGGCACTAGCGGTGACCTTTGCATCTGCCAGAGCTTTCCCACGGCTGCATCGCAGATGGGGCTTGAAATTCTGGCTGGGCCAGGAGGAAGAAAGTGGCTTTCCCACTCAGCCATGCATCTGCCCCATGAGCTCTGGGTGGGCTGGGGAACTGTGGGAAGATGACATTTAGGTATTGGAATCAAATGTTACCTCTGGTACACTTTATAACAATGAGCTAATATATACTTCCTAAAAAATGTTTGGAGGGTATGGAGGGGGTGGGGAGCTCTCAAAAGAGCTGGAGCCCTTTGATAAGATCCTATGCACCCGCTCACAGACGTGACCAGTCCAATACAAACCCACATACCTGACTCCTGTGATACGTAGCCCTTGGCTCAGGTGAATCTTCACCTGTAAAACTAAAGGGCTGCATAGGTGATCTCTGTGGGCCTTTCCCTCAGTAATGTATTTCCTTGCTGTTTGTGTTCTAACAAGATCTTGTTTATGTTGGAAACTGTCAGCAGATGCTAAAGCTGTCCCTAGGGGAGTGGCGACTATGGTAGCCAGACCTCCCTGGGCTGAAGCACGAGGTGGGTCCATGGTGATGTTTGGTCTGAGTCAGGGTCAGAAGGGAGGTTAACACTGTGACTAAGGCCTACTCTTAGGCTGAATTTCCTCTCCCTGAGGCTGCATCTGGGTCTAATCAGCAGGGGCTCAAGGGAGACGGGAGCAGGTGGTTCTGGGGACTCTGGGGAGAGCAAATACAAATTCGATACCACCTGGAGGTAAAGAGGAGAGAAAAACGGGGTCCTGAAAACAGCTAAAAATGAGTCATAACAACCAAATGCAACATATGTAACCCTTAGGATCATGGATTAAAAACACACATAAAAGACATATTGGGGAGAATCTGAGTAACTCTAATAGAGAATATCAGTATTACATTGTTAAGTATAAAATTGGAGAGAGAGAGAGAGAGAGAGGAAGCAAATGTTAAAGATAAGAAGTTGGTGAATGTGGGCAAAGCTTATGTGGGTGTTTATTATGTTATTTATTCTACTCTTCTGCAAGTCTGAAGTTTAAAAACTAAAGTGTTAGAAAATTGCTCGTAAGTCAGATATGTGCTGTAGAATAGGCTCTCCACTCCTGTAATGTTTCCTTTGTGTTTATCCATCCCACACATCAAGAAGAACACACTCTGGCTGTAATTTAAGCTCATTTCCTCATTTGTTCTGTTCTCTCTGGAGACAATCGGCATCTTCCTTGTAAATCTCAGGCTCGGCTGGCTGGGATGACATGGGAACCTCAAGGCTGTTCCCGGAACTCATATTTCTATGTGTCATGGGCCACTCTCCTCACCACCCCAGTGAACGCCACCCCAGTTGAGTTACACTGAAGGCAGTTTCTGCTAACACTTGTTGGCACTCGAGTGAGTGCTCTTTAGCTGCACCAGCTCAGCTGATTCTCAACAACAAAACTCGCTTACAAATGGCAGAGCCAGAATGAGAACAGGACTCGTGACTCCCAAACCTCTGTCCTTGACCACCATTCAGCTGATCTCAGCTTGGAGGTCATTGCAATTTTCTAGAGAGGATATTCATGTGGGGCCCCACCCCCAGCAGTACTCAATCAGACACCTGTTGCACAGACAGGCTTGGGTTCATTGTCTCTCTGAACCTTGAGTGACTTCCATCTGCGATCCATCTCCTCTCCCATTCCCACTTGGAGAGTAAACCCCTTAAATCTGAGGGATTGGCCCCAGCCCTTCCTTTCTGCCCCAAACACTATTTGCCTGGGTTGGTCCTGGTGCCACACAGGATGCAAGCTGGAGCCATGGGTTTACCTGAACTAGTAAAACTACTGTGCACCATTCCTCATGCTTGGCCTGCTGTAGAGCATTTTGGGAACTCGGGGTGTGGGCTCTTGTGGCCCCTGATGGAGAGTGACTTGTGCCTCTGACGAGAATCCTTTGGGGGAGGAGAGAATGGAGGCACCAGAGGAGGAGCTTTGGCTGTATCTGCAATGTTTTCTTTCTTATATTTTTAAATCAACCTCAAGGGAATTATGCTGAGCAAAAAAAGTCAATTCCAAAAGGCTATGTACTGTATTATTCCATTCCTATGATCTCCTTGATATGACAGAGTTACAGCAATAGGGCAGGTTAGTGGTTGCCTGGAGTCAGGGGCTGGTGGATTGCTGGTGAAGGGTACCAGGAGAGGCGCTGGTGGTGATGGGAATAATCTGTATTCAGCCTGAATCATCGTCCATTCCCTGCCTGCACCATTGTACTGGAATTTAGAAAGATGCTGCTGTGGAGGAAAACGGTAATGTTACACGGGATCCCTCTCTATGTTATCTGTTACAATGTGATTTGAATCCTCAGTTATCTCAAAATAAAAAAAAATTAGCTTAATTTAAAAAAAGAGAGGGCAAGGGCAAATATGGCAAAATATTAATATCTATTCTATATGAGTCTTAAAATCTGTTATATCTGTGATTTGATTATTTTCTGAATGCTGGAAATATTTAGTAAAAACAAAACCCTCTGGGTTACCTAGTCAGCCTTTGAAGTGTGTACCCTTGCCAACACCTGCTCCTGGTCCCCAGGCTGATGTGGCCAAAGTATGATCTTGAAGGGTTTTGCAAGGAATGGGAGGTGGTGCTTGGCCGTGGTGCTGGCCCAGCTGAGGACAATCCTTCTGACCTCTTACTGTCCTCTCTGGACCTGGGGAAGCACCCAACACTCTGGGAGGGCTGGGACTGCCCTGTAGCTCCCGCAGGGCCCCACTGTGTCCCCCATGACACGTCAACAAAATGGACAAAAATTCTACTTTCCTACTGATTCTTGGTGACAGTTAACTTCTCAACTAAAAGCGCTATTATACTAGTAAGAAAGGCTGTCTTCTCACTAGACTCTTTTAGTTTGTGTATTGTAAGAAAAGAGACTTACATACCAGAATTTATTTATTATATAGCTAAATCACAACTTTACAATACATTCAAAAGGAACTAAATGAGACACGTACAATTGTTTAAATGTAAAAATAGAAAAGAATGTCCAAAAAAGATCAGTTCTATTGGAATAGAATCTTAGTAATCATTAAAGAGTAAAGTGTTTTCAACCCAGGGTCACAGGATGGGCTTGGCCATGCGTAGCAGGGCTATTCACATGGGTTCTGAATGACAATCAGAAGATATTCCTTATCTGTGGAAAGATATGGGCAGAATTAACCGACTCTAAACATTAAATGTCATAAATGAATACATCAGCTAAATCTTCTTTTTCTCTGTGAAATAGCACTTGGACCTTGTGTAGACAACGTTTTCCACCCCGGTTGCATCAGAATCATCTGTCCAACTTTCACAAAATATCATTACATGGGACCCAGCCCCGAAATTCTGGTTTCATTGGTCTGGGGTGAAGTTCAGGCATCAATCATTATTTCTGTAAAGCTTTCCAAGTGATTCCAATATGCAGCCAGTGTGAAAAAAACTTTATTTAGTTTGTGGGTAATTCTGATCATACAGGTGTACTACTATGAAGACTTTTATTCTAGACTAGATCTAGAAGCATGAGTCCTGTTTTACACTGGCATTTACCAACACTGGCAATAGAATTCCTTCAGGGAAAGAAGTATTTTGGTGGCAGCTGTCTTTAAGTAGGCCAGTTGAGTCTGAACTCTCCACAAGGGATGCTGAAGATTACAGGCCTGTGATCCACCCCTACTTTATCTTCTGGACAGGAGACATTTCTCCCACTCTCCAGAAAATTGGTGTGCTAAGTTCATCTTAGCATGAGGCCTACAGCTCCTACATTTTTTTTTATTACTAATGACAAATGCAAGTGGGCAAAATTCAACTTCTTCAGAGGTCAGATTCTTCACCAATGTCACAAAAATTTCAAGTTGAAAATTTCAGACTCAAACATGTCTTCATTTTGTAATTGAAGAACGTTATGTGTCGTCATATTGCATATTAGAATCTATACTCCTTGTTCTTTGAACATTTCATATGGCAAAGTAGGAAGATGCTTTATTTATGTGAAATAAAATGCCAAATTACCTGGCGCCACCATGATTTCATGTTTCTTTGATCTGATCCTAAGAAAGGTGAGGTCGTTCTGAGGATCAATGTCACGGACTGTGCTCCTGGCTTTCATGGTCAGCTGATGAAGAAGGCCTGCATACTGAACTGTTGTCGAGTTGTCCAAGGTTGTTCGAATCGGAATACCTGGTACAAGATTTAATTTGGGGTTAAATTATTTTTCTGTTTATAAAAGTAATATGAATATTGTAGAAATATGGAAATGACTTATAATTGTTAAGAGAAAGAAAAAGTAATGGCTGGTATTACCACTGGTAACAATTTTAGTTTATTTTTTTCCAATCTTCTTGTTTCTACATAGATTTAAAAAAAATACTCGGGTCAGTCCTGGCTGGGTGGCTCATCTGGTTGAAGTGTTTTCTGCTACACGGAAAGGTTGTAGGTTGGATCTCTGGTCAGGGTGCATATGTAAGGCAACTGATCTGTTTCTCACATCAATGTCTTTCTCTTTCTCTTTCTCTTTCTCTTTCTCTTTCTCTTTCTCTTTCTCTTTCACTTTCACTTTCTCTTTCTCTTTCTCCCCTTCTCTCTCTCTCTCCTTCCCCCCTCTCTCTGCCTCTTTCTTCCCTCTCTTCTCTAAATACAACCTTGAGTGAAGATAAAAAAAATACTTGGGTCAAACTATAATTACAAATTTGATAATTGTTTTTGTCTTCATTTAAATGACAGCATACAGGTTGTCCTTGTTGGTGACCATGTCATCAATAGTTTTTTGAATGGCTGTATCCTTTACTATTATATGAATATACCATAATCAATCCCTAATGTTGGATTATTAGGTATCATGTCTTTGTTTTTGTAGTTAATGGTGTGATGGATGTTTTTGTGCACAAGTCTTTTGGAAGCTGTTAACTGATTGTTTCAGTACTAGATGAACATATTTCTAGACAAAATGAATTCCTCCAGTGTCCTGTCTACAGAGCCTGCTTTTGAAATGCTTGGTCTGTCATATAATGCTCATTTTCTCCTGAGGCCAGAGTTAGAAAGGGATATCACTGCACATGCTAGATAGCATATCAAAAGGGATTTTCAAAAATTCTTTATAACATTCAGTATTTAAAAAAACAAAATTTATATTAGAGAACACAGCAAGAAAGACACCGTAGTTTTGCTTGGCATTTCATGGTTTGAACTCATTCTTGGGTTAAGCATTATTAAATTTGGCTACTTGTATGCTCTACTGCTCCATGATACATGTTTAAAACAGAATCTATTAATTTAACTGGAAATGTCTAGACAGACAAATATGCAAGTATAATTCAATTCAGTTCAGATCAATCTAGCTTAATTTGGGTCACTCAGCGCTCAGTGCTTATTAATTAACAGGTGCTGTGCTAGGTATTTGCATATATTGTATCTAATCAGAAATGGCCTTCTTATAATTTTGAGGACTACCACATGGTCAGGGAACCCCAGGAATTTGAATTGCAAATGTGTCTTTAATTTAGAGGGACATACATAGGTGAATTAGAGATTATTGTCAGACTACTCAGGTACCTGAATTGAGGACAATCAATAAAAGAGGCTGGAGTGACTCTTGGTTTTTCCTCCGAGAATATAACTTTAGAAACTCTCAAGATGAGCACTTCAAGAGTGGACCAGAATTTTAAACTTGGGATTTTACTAGTTTTTCATGAAACCTTTTGTGAGCCTTAATTCTGAATCTGAAATAGATTAATTGCTTCTCTTTTAAGAAAATGATTACCTCTAGAATAGGTCTAGCTAAACAATACCAGGACAATATTTACAGGAAAACCTACTCAATGAATCAGGTTTTATATATGCTTGTTAATTTTTATATTATTATTTGTTGGCCACTTTCCTCCAGAAGTCTTTTGCACCTGATGAAACATCCCAAGGCACAAGCAGAAGAGTGGAATGTAGCAAGCACTCAACCTTGTAAGAGCACCTTTGAGAAACAGTTTTATTTTGCAGCCTAAATGGTGACTACCTAAAGTCTGCACTGCTCAGTGTCAAAACAAAAAATAAAGCCAGAATAAATTATTTAAAATGCAGATGACAAGTTATGAATCAGATGCTCAGGTCTATTTAGTTAGTCTATGCATGATGCAAGGCGATAAATAAAACAGCTAGCCTTTCTGAATAGTAAGTGCACACTGTGGAGAGTCTTAGAGTTTTTCATATCCCCTATAGACACTTGAGAAAAATCAATCAACAAATATTTATGAAGCTCCTGCTTGGTGCCATGCAAGGTAATTAAAAAATAATTTTTTAAGAAGTAATTGTAGCACATGGTATGAAAGTCTCCCACTTCCCCTTCTGAGAGGTAGCCACTGCTTCCTGTTCTTTTGGTACTCTTCCAGAGGTCCTCTAAGCCTATTCAAGTAGGTTTGTGGTTATATTCTTTAACTAGAGGCCCAGTGCACAAAATTGTTTTGCACTCGAGGGGAGGGCGAGTGGTCCCTCAGCCTGGCCTGCATTCTCTCCCAGTCTGGGACCCCTCAGGGAATGTCCACCTGCCAGCTTTGGCCCACTCCCCAAGGGATTGGGCCTAAGCTCGCAGTCAGTCGGACATCCCGTAGGAAGCCTGGGAGTCCTCAGGAGATGTCTAATTAACAGCTTAGCCCGCTCCCCCAGGGAAGCAGTGCAGGGAGTGGTGCAGGCAGCAGGCCTAAGGCATTAGTTGGACATCCTTAGGGCTGCTGCAGAGGCGGGAGAGGCTCCTGCCACTGCCACCACCGCTGCTGCTGCACTGGCCAGCCATGAGCCAGCTTCTGGCTGAGGGGCGCTCACCCTGTGAAAGCACACTGACCACTAGGGGGCAGCTCCTGCACTGAGCATCTGCCCCCTGATGTCATAGTGACCTGTCATTCTGCTGTTCAGTCTATTTGCATATTAGCCTTTTATTATATAGGAGTGTATCATTCTCTATTCTGCACTTACATTTTTTTCATCTAATGCACTTTGGAAACATTTCCATTCAGTATGCACAAGGCTCGTTTATTTATGTTAATGACTATGTAATGTGACTGTCAAATAGATGCTTGTAATATAACTAATACATCCTCCTGACAGGCATCTAGACTGTTTCCAATATTTGACTTTTATAAACATAGCTACAGAGTATGTCTTTGTACATGCCATTTCACATTTGCATATATGTATAGTATAAATTCCTAAAATGGCACTACTTTAAAATTATTCTTTCTGATCCCAGTAAGCTGGTACTCTTCCACTGTACATTTATAAAAGGAGTTGGCTGGATGGCTGATAAAATCTAATGATAGATTGTTAGAAATGTCAAGAACATTTCAAATTAGGACCCTATAGAAGTCAGGTTTATATCCGTAAGAATATATGACAGATGTGACGGATATACATACATACAGGGTGTCCCAACAGAACGTATACACACTTTAACAGCTGATAGCCCAATTTTGAAAATGAAATGTATTTTAATAAACACTGTCTTTATAATTGTTGTAAGAGTGTGCATACATTTTTGGGGATACCCTGTATACACTCAGACAATATTCACTAGTCTCTAACTCAATGATCAGTGCTGTAAGCTTGTAAATAATGAATGGTTTTATAAATGGGAAATCAATGTTACCAAAGAATCTTCTCTAACAAAAACCTATACCATTCAGCATTGGACTAAACTGATAAGTCTACTTTATTGTTATGAATAAGAAGTATATGCTTCCATAACAGTGAAAACAAAAAAATTATTTAATTTGGCATATGAAAAGATCTCAGTGCATAAACACCACAGAGGACCTACGTAACCATCTAAAAGTATGTTAAAATGATTTGCCTAGACTTAGTGGACTAACATCATTAGCAGAATAGAAGACCACATAAATACCATCTTAGTTAAATATTTTCAGAATCAAATTTCATGGGACTTCTGAAAGCTACAAACTGCACTATAATAAATGATCCTTTCATCTAAAATTGAGTAGGCTGTTGAAATGGAGTATTTTATTACATTCTGGTCATACAACTTATACCACATGCTATTAATAAACAGCCTTGTTATATACTCTGTTATTAATAATATGACCATAAAAGTAAGCCCCTATTTATATTTTTGGGGAAAAGGTTAATTTGGATTTCAGAAAAGTACCCTGAATTCTAACATAACCTTATCATAATAGAGGTTAATTAGAACAAGTTAATGGGTCTTAAAAATAATATTTTGTTTTCTGGATGAGAAAAGTGTTGAGAAATCCCAGGAAAATAACATAAAAATCACTTCTAATTCCATCACTCAGAGATAATCACCACATCTCTGCCTTTTCTTCCATATTTATTTTTAAATGTATGTGTGTGCCTGGATAAATTTTTGATTAGAAAATGCTGAGTACTGCTATGTTCCCTGATTTTTTTCATCGATAGTGTTGTTAGTTTCCCATGACTCTAAATATTCTTCAACATTTTAAGTAGAGAAATACTTCATCAAGTAAATATTACATAATTAATTTAAAAATTTCCCTACATTTGGGAGAGATCATCGATTTTCAACCTTTTTTATCTCATGGCACATATAAACTAATTACAAAAATTCTGAGGCACACCAAAAATATATTTTTTGCCAATATGACAAAAAATAGGTCTAATTTTGATTCATTCACACCAGATGGCTATTGTTGTGTTGGCTGTTGTCATTTCTTTATTTGACAACCTAAGGGAAAAGAGCAGGTATAGCATGTTTTAAAAATTCTGAGGCACACCAGTTGAAAATTGCTGGAATAGGTTTATTTATGTGTTTACTTATTGGTATTCTATATTAGGCCTCACTGAATACCATTTGGACTTAATCTTTCCCTCATTACTTCTTAGGATTAATTCCTAGGAGTGGAATTACAGATCAAAGGGTAGACTATTGTTCAGACATTTGATGCATATTGCTAAAATTGCATACTTTAGACTAAGATCTTCCAAAGTAACACATAGGTGAGTTTACCTGGATGTCATAGGTAATGCACCTGTGTTGAGCTGAAGAGTGCCACACACCCCTACCCCCAATTCAGGTACATCCTAAACCTCAGAATGTGACCTTATTTGGAAACAGGGTATTTTTAGATGTGATTAGTTAAGATAAGATCAGACTGGAGTAAGGTGGAACCTAACCCAATACTAGTGTCCTTATAAGAAGAGAAAAAAGGAGACATAGAGAGGATGATGAAGGCAAAGAATGGAGGTATGAGTCTACAAGCCAAGGAAGGCCAAGGATTGCTGGGAATCACCAGAAGCTGGGAGACAGGCAAGGAAGGATGCTCTCGTAGAGCCTTCAAAGGTAGCTTGGCCCTGCTGACACCTTGATTTCAACTTCTACCTTCAAAACTGAGAGAATAACTGTCTGGTTTTTTAAGCCACTCGGTACTTTGTTATGGCAACCAAAGGAAAGGAATACAGAACCTCTGTGGAGTGATGAAGATTAACCCACCTGAGCGGGGAGGGAGGGGGGTGGTTGTGGTGGTGGTAGAGTTTGTGTAAATGCATGGACCTAAAATCAGTTTAATCAGAACCATGAACTAGGGTTGGAGCACTTCCTGGAACTATTAGGCATGGATCTGGACTTACCTGTAGGGCTGATCTTAAATCCACTCCCTCCTGATCACTCTAGTTGAGTGTATTTATTATATTTATTTGATGTTACATTTAACTTTATTTTGTGAAACACATCATATGTTTTATCTGTACAAATCAATTAAAAATCCCTGCCTTCTCAGAACTATTTATTTATAACTGGAGGTCCAGTGCAAGGATTCATGCACCAGTGGGGTCCCCTGTGGGGACTGGACTGAAACTGGCTCTCTGACATCCCCTGATAAATTTTGGGTTGTGAGAGGGTGCGGGCCAGGCTTAGGGACTCCATCAGTGGGGCTGGGAAGGGACCGCAAGAGGGCTCCAGGGCATGTCCAGCCTGACTTGCCCAGTCCTCATCAGCCGGACCACAGCAGCATACTAACCTACCAGTTGGAGTGTCTGCCCCCTGGTGGTCAGTGCATGCTATAGTGACTGAATGGTTGAACAGTTGGATACTTGAGGCTTTTATTATTTAGGACAGGATTCTATTAAGTGTTGGGTACTATGGCAGGCAATTGACAGTTCCTTCACTTATCAAAACCATCAGTAAAGTAGGTCATTTTCCATTTTTAATAATAATGGATTGAAGGTCAGAGTTTAAACAGACTTTTAGTTATTTAGGTTTTAAAGCCATCAATAAACATTGATGGATTTGCTCCAAAACAATGATTAGTTTTGAGATTCTGTTGCCAATCACTGAGTTAGCAATGTGCCAATCCCATGGTTGCAACTTCAATTATATAAAGTAACTAGTACTCTTATTTCAACTAATACTCTGGGGTTTGTAGCACCTATTGCCCTTACAAATGCTTGAATTAGCAACGAAGTGAGCAAGAGCCTTTAAGAGGTAACACCATAGCTGAGCCTGAGGCAGGCAGTGTGCTAGAGAAATGCTTTGTGGATTAATATGGACTGTGGGGTGAGGGCTGGTTTCTGGAATAAGTTTACAGATTTCATAGGTGGAAATGTAGTAGCCCTTCTTAAACTATAACCACAAAAACTATACTAGAAATTACAACTAACTCTCAAAGATTTTATTAAATGTGGCAAAGGAGCAATTTCATTTAAAATGAAGACTGAAACCCTGTACCCTCTATGATGTTAAAACAAAAACAAACTGCCAAAAATGATACTCTCCCTATCTTCAATATAAAAGTTTTATTGGTATGCCTGAAATGTTAAAAGACAGTAGTGTCTCTTAGCAATATGCAGACATTTTTAGACATGTCTTCTTCATATTTATATCCTTAGTTCTTAGCAGAGTGCCGGGCATGTAATACTCAATAGATGTTTTAAAGTAAATGCTATAGCTAAAATATACAAAATGTGCTTTTGATTTCCAAATTCTAAGGTGCTTGTCTTAGGCATGGCACAACCAACAGGGGCTTGGCTGGCTTCGGCAAGTCAAGAAGGAAGCTCATCATATGTCTTTACCTTCTGCATTTACAACCATGGTTCCAATCACCCCTTTATGGCTCTGTATCCTCTTTAGGGTTTCCTCCACCTCTGCCTGGAAGAGATCAGGATAGAAATTAACCAAAAGATTCTTTGTGGTGACCCCAATCCTAAAGAGAATTAATATTTGGAAAGATCGCTCCTATCTCTCTCTCTAACTTAAGTTTTATATACTAATGTCAGACTTTTGGAAGAGAGTTTTGAAATTGTCAAGTCTCATATAAAGGTCTATATAGGATCCCTGGCAGACAACCTTGACAAATCTCTTGGGTTGAACTGTTCTAGAGAAAGAGAGCTTACTGCCTCACAAGAGCTCACTCCATGTTTATCTATTTACTGGCAACATATTCTTTACATTGGACAGAAATCTGCTCCTGACCATCTTTCACTCATTGGTCTTTCCATAGTTGTATAAAAATTCCCTTACTTTATTATAGTACTTTAATGTTTATAGAGCTATATCATTGTCGTCTTCTAAAAGTATCCCTTAATGAGAAATCTTATTTTCAGTCCTAAATGTTACCTATTTGGGAGTTCAGATGACTAATTGAGGATATTCTGTAAAACCATATTCCAAGATTCCAAGAATCTCTTGATAACTATGGCCTGGTTCTCAGTGCAAGCTGAATGTTCAACCATGAATACTTACATTGGAACCGCATTACTGGGTTTAAACTCAGGTTTCTGAATGAATTTTATGCATAAACTATATTGTAGTGGTTTTCTTTCCTTCTACAAATGCTAAAACCAAGAACGATCTTGTCCAATCCTGCATATTGTTCATAACCAAGGAATCACTGAATATTCTGAATTTAAACATCATTCTGCAGAGTCTCTTGATAAGGTTTTGTGGTATTTTTCCCTTTCAACATCATACAAGTGAACATTATGCTACTTAGGCAAGACAGTTTTATTTTGCACCTAAGGTGGGTGGGAAAACCTATTTCCTCTTTTGTTATACCACTCTATAGATGTTTTCTGAATTTCAGTCATTTATGGACTAGATCTCAATTTTTTGACATTAGGGATACCATCTATATTACTTATCTAGCACTTCTTTGAAATTATATTATTGCTAAAGGTTTATATGAATGCATTTTCAAAGGAAACTATACATCACTACCAAATGGAAATATGGTCATAAACAGAAATAACCAAGAAAAACAGGGGCAAATATTATTCTATAAACCTGAGGTCTATTCTTTAGTGAAAATTTGAAATTGTGAAATGCTAGGGGCCTAACCACCTAATATTGTCAGAAACTTTCTCCTGGATATGGTCTAAAGGTTGAAAAGAAAATCAAATTAAAGAGGAATAACTTTTTCAGATGTGATTTACTCTGTTATTTGGTGTTTCTGAGCCATCTCACATAGCAACCATATTTGCATCTCACTTTGGGAAATACCGCATTTAAAGCTAACAGCTATAGAGAGGATCAATAATTTATTACATTTTTGCCACCTCTATGACAATGTTCCCAGCACCTTAAATCACTGCCCTCATTTTCCTTTTTTCTTTTACTTCTCTCTCCAACATCTTTCTTTTTGCTTTCCCCAGACTTCCAGATTTTCCTTCTTTTCCCAGTTTTCTACTTCTGTGATTTCTGAGCCATCTTGTTACAATCTGTTGATCCTCAGCATCTTTTCATTCCTCTCAAAACTCTGCTGTCAACTTGCTCTTCCTTCAAACTTTCCAGTTCTCTTCTTTCCTCCTCCCGCCCCACCTTCCTACTTATTCTCTCACCTCCCTTTTCACCTTTCTTCCTGCTTTTTATTTAATTTTCTTCTCTCTCAATATCTCCTTCTCCCCGCTCTTCATTGCCTCGCGCTTCGCTCCCTGTCCCCTCTCTTTCTTCCCTTTCAGGATGATTTTTCTCTCCATCTCGTTCCTTTTCACACATTCCTCACAGTGAGATCTCTCATGCCACACAGGATCTTTCATCCCTTTAGTATCTCTTCTTTCTCGATATCTCTCTTCACCCTGTATCACCTTCAGAAATCACCCCATCTACCCCAATATATCTTTCCTGCCTTCATGGTCACCCTCTAGGATCTCCCAGTCGCCCTTCCAAGAAGCTTCTGGACACCCAGCCTTCGCAGTGGCTTCGGCCGGGCCCTTGGATGGACCTCGGAAGCCGGGCGGCGAAGGCCCACTCGGATCGGCGCCCTTTGAGCGCCGGGTCGCAGGCGGAGACCCCAGATTTACCATCGCACTGGCGGAGAAACTGCGCTCAGTCCGGAGCTCCCTCTGCCTGGGCTGTCAACAACGCTTCCAGCCGTTGCTAGGAGACGGGGGAGGAAGTGACCTCCGGGAAGCGGCGGTGCCCACGCCTGCCTGCACGAGGGCGGGGCGGCAGCCGGAGGTGGCTTTTCCGCCCGGAACCGGCTGTCTCCTCCCGGCCGCCGTAGGGGAGTTTGGAGCGCTTTGCCTGGAGCTCTCACCCGCGTTTCCCCGACGCCCGCGGGGCGAGGGGCTGCTTGCAGGCTTGGAGCGGGGCCAAGGCCGCCTCCGGATCATTCATTCGTCCATTCATTCAGTTATTCATTCGCTCCTTGAGGTGTGCTTTCATGTCACAGCCACTTCCTCAGTCAAGACCACTGACCACGTGCCAGGCTGCTGTCCTCAGGGCCCTGGGGACATTCTGTCGGGAGGCAGACCAAATGCAACAACAGAAACTATACTCTCCCATGTGATACCTGCTCTGGAGCGAGCGCGGGAAGGGGCCCTCTGACACTGGGGTTGGGAATATACTCAGCTGCCTCGTGACATTCTGCGAACTTCTTGAGTTGGTAACCTTTGCTCCCTTGCCCTGCACGGATAGGTTTTTAAAACAATGTTTATTTATTTATTTATTTATTTATTTATTTTTTATTAAAGAAGAACTATATCTCAGCATCGAATAGTACAATCATATATACGTTTGATAAACACCATCTTACATCTTGGGTTCTCATCTAGTTGTAGCACCGCTTTTTACTCAGTTGAGTTGCTGCTTACCAGTATTTTTGTTTAATCCTTTATGATCTTTCTTTTGTGGTTTTTATTTGTCAACAGTTCTGAGTCGCTGAGAAATTGCAGGTGGCAGTGGTGGAAGTTCTACAGATTACCATAGAACAGAGCATTGTCCCTGGGTATTTAAGGAACTGATGGGAGAAACAAGTTAAAGATCAATCAGGGATAGTCAGAAGTCACTTGACCTTTTGAAAGGCCTTGATAATATCTTTGTAGCCGGGGAGGCAGGAACCAACTATTGTGGAGGTACAGCAGAAAAATTGTGTGTCTGGAATCAAAATCCTGGGGTTGGAGAAGGCAAACATTGATTATAGATTCAAGTTGTAGGTTGGGAATGCCTCCCCAGAGGGACCAGGCTATGGCTCTCTACAATACTAATTCAGTCTGGGTTCTCATTTTCTGAAAGCAGCCTCAAACAAAACAAGGAGTCCTTATGGTTAGGAATGTCATCTAGAATATGAATGGGCCCTTGTCAGAGACGTTCTGAAAGAGTTCTGAGCTTTTTGGTAATTTTGGATTAGAAGGACCATTTGAAGCTGGAGTCTTTCATTTTATGGCATTAAGTTATATACAGAAACACCCTGAGAAGCTCTAGTTCTGTTTCATTTTCCCTCCTCCCTATCCCCCCCTCCCCATCCCCCTTTCTACCACCCCCCCAACACACACACACAGAGGAGATTCTGGTCACTGTCATCCTCTCTCTCTCTCTTTTTTTTTTTTTTGTTTCTTCCAAGAAACTCATGATGCTCAAAAATCCAGGTAACAATAGCTAACTAGAGTCCTTTTCACTCCTCACTTAGAAGTCCATTCAAGATGGGCAGTGAGGATGGTGGGGTAGGAGTCTGTGTATGTTTGCACGCGTGCGTGCTGTGCAGATTTGGTTCTTGATTGATTGCCTATATCTACCTTTTAAAAAAATTTTTTTATCCTCATCTGAGGATATTTTTTCCATTGATTTTTAGAGAGAGTGGAAAGGTGGGAAGGGGATAGAGAGAATGAGAAACATTAATGTGAGAGAAACTCATCAATTAATTGCCTTCTGCACATGCCCCAACCAGGCCAGGTTCAAACCTGCAACCCAGATACGTGCCTTTTAATGGGAATCAGATCCGAGACCCTTTGGTGTGCAGGATGACTCTAACCATTTAGCAACACCAGCTAGGGCTATGTATATACAATTTTAAGTACTAACAGTATATATATTTACAGTGTTGACTGTATAATGTCTGATTTTTTGTGCTCTCTGGGTGTTCCTGATCAAGGAGACCCCTACACTTGATGTGTAGCCATTTGTTTTGCTTATAAAAACCAGTGGTAGTGCATCATTTCTGTATGTCAATCAGCTTTAATGAAGGAACCTGACTTCATATGCATGAAGTGTGAATCCCCTCATTTCTAGAGTCAGGGTGTCAAACTCGTTCGATAGCTGACAGCTGTGATTAGAGCAGAGAAAGATTCCAGCATGAAAGGCCCTGACAGAACTGCCCAACTGCTGAAAAAGTAATAAGAAGTAGCCACACTGACTTCTAACCAACAGTCAAGTTTGACTCACTGTGCACAGGAAATCAATGAGGAGAATATGAGCCATTTTCTCCTTATTGATTTTCACTTCTAATTATTCCTGGGAGGTAGCTTGGTTTAATTTTTATGCCTTTTTGGGACTATAATGAATATCCAGAGCTGTGCTGTATAAAGTACCCTGGCAGTTTCTGACCTATTCTTTACCCCATTCTTAATACAAGTGAATTATCCCTTTCCCGTCTCCTTTTCCCACCCTTATTTTGGGCCCATGGTAATTGTTTAATACCTTTGAATTTAAGTGAAATAACTAGTGAGTAATATTTTTTTGAAAGTACTCTGAAATGACCCCCACATTTGTGGTACATGCAGAGACAAAGCCCACAATTCTTCACATAAGTGTGTCAAAATAAGATTATTTTCTTCTGAAGTCTCTGTCTGATAATTTGCTACTGCTCTCTACTTAGCCTAATGACATTTAGGTAACTTGATAATCTTGAGTTTTCTCTTGGAATTTTCTGTACCACCCCCTATGTCTTTGGCATTCTTTTTTACTTGGCAAATACTATAAACTGGGGAATGGAATATATTTTGTACCCATTCTCTCATAAGGTAAGGCATTGTTCTTCAATTTAAACAGAATATCTCTTAATACTCTACTGGTTTCACTCCAGAAAGTACTAGATTCTTTGAAAATGTCCATTTATAATAGTAAGGCAGAATTAGATGATGTCAGTGATATCAGTGGTATTTCACATAATTGACCCAATGCCATAGAATTACAGAATATAGATTTAGAGATTCAGGAGATCAAAGATTTTCTACTTCTTATAAGGGCAAAGACACCTTCTAGGGTAATTCTTTCTAGAACTCAAGTATAACATAAGCATAAAGCATCCTCTCTTTCCTAGATCACAGAATTTGGAATACATGCAGCTAGGGTTGATGTTCCTAGGTGTATTTCTTTGAGCAAAATAAATTACCAGGGTTTTTGCTTACTCATTTATAAAATAGGAAAGATAATGTCTTCTTTAAAGGGTTTATGTGAGGTTTAACTATTAGTATACAGGTAAAATGTCTGGTTTGTACCAGATGCCCAGTATGGATCATTTAAGCACATTTCTTTCTTATGACTTCCTTTCTTTAGTTCATCCTTCCTTCACCCTTTCCTTCCTCATCATTTTTCTATCTTTCTAGCCTTTTCCTTTCTATTTCTCTCCCATTTTCTCCCTCTTTCCCTTATAATGACCTTCTCTTCAGCCTCCTTTTCCTCATGCACTCCCTAGGAAAAATCCCAGAATTCAAATTGTTGATTTTGTCACTAAAGAATGTCTTTCCCTTTCTTCTCAAATTCCTTTTGAAAATTCACTTAGAATTTTCATCTAATGTAACTCATCTCCCTTTAATCTCCCTTCCCCCGCAAAAAAAGTTCCCTTTTAAAACTTCTAGCTCCACAAGCAATTCCCATCTCAGTGCCTTGCATAAAATAGATATTCTCAGTATCTGAGCATTGGGGGCAAACTGTAAATATTTTTTTCATCTATCAATTTTGTTCAAAGAAGGAAGGGTTGATGGGTGCAATAAATCCCATGCACTTGATGTACCACTTTTTTTTTTTCTTCTGATAAACTAGTCCTAAGGTCCTTGATGTATTTTTTTCAAGCTTTTTGATCTATTTAGCTTTACTGATATGTTTAATTTACAAAATTTAGGTACACAAACAAGTGTAAGTCAGTGAGTTACTAACAAAAGTTAGGTGTATGAAACAGAATACACAGTTGGGTGAGTTACAACAAAGTGAACTCATGTGTAATGCCCAGCCAGTTCAAGAAATAGAACACTGCCTACATTCTAGAAGATTCCACATGGCAGTTTCCAATCATTACTCTCACACCGTTTGGCTTGAAAAGCCAAAACTTTTATCATCTATCTATCTATCTATCTATCTATCTATCTATATCTCTTTTTATTTAATTTGTTGGGGTGATACTAGTTAACAAAATTATACAGGTTTCAGGCACACAATTCTACAACACATCATCTGTACACTGTATTGTTTGTTCACCACCCCAAGTTAAGTTCTCCATCCATCACCATTTATACCCACTCTTCCCTCTTCCACTGCTCCCTCCCTCCTTCCCTCCCTCCCTCCCTCCATCCTTCCCTCCCTCCCTCAGTAATCAACACATTGTTGTAAAAATATTCATTATCTGGCCCTTTACTGAAAAAATTTGCTGATGCCCATAATGGACTGTTCCTCTTCTCTTTCACCTTCAACATATGTTTAATGGTTGAAAACAAAAAATATAACATTGTTCTGGGTTTTCAAAATATGCAAATGTAACATAACTACAGCATAGAGGAGAGAGGGTAAAGAGACCTATATGAGGATAAGCATTTTACATTCCACTTGAAATTCTAGTACTGATTCTAAATAGACTGTGAAGAATGAGGTATATAATCCCTAGAGTTACCAATAAAAAAACTATACAGATAGAGTAAAACAGCAAATAGAAAAATTAAAATGGCATACTAAAAATTATTCTAATAATATAAGAGGGAAAGCAGTGAAATGGAAAGCAAATGGAAAAATCCAAAAACAAGTAATATAAATTAAATCTTGGTATATCATTTATTACATTAAATGCAAGTAGTCTAAGCACACTTATAAAAGATAG